GAAGGAGCGGATCGACAAAGGTATTAAATATCGTCACATTTTAAAATCTAATATAGACTTAGTATTAAAACAAGTAATTTGACTAATACTTAATTAATACTGGTTTACTAGTTATTTGCGTACTTAAGAGATGTTCTAGTCAACCCAATACAGTGGCTTAGACTTACCTACACTTACATAAAAAATCATGTAAACATGTAGGACATTTTAACCCCTTATGAAGTAAAGTTTTTGTAATGATATTTTTCCAACCGACCAGTTCAGTATACAGATTCGATTAAGAAGTACTGGCTAGAAACTCCACTGAATTTCTTTTTTTTATTTTAGTATGTACATTATATAATGTCTATACAAAATATCTCATCAATTAAGTCATCATCAGATTTCAGTTTTAAGATTGACAGATTAGATTTTTTCTCGCCACTTTCACATGACTTTATTAGGTAAAACGCCTTACATGTTTAGTTACATGACCCTAAGTTCAATGAAAGTAACAACCTAATGAGTGATTGAGTGATTGAATGATTGATGAGTGTATAAGGTCGTGGTATCAAGATGACTAGAATGGAGGACTCACTACGATATACAAACTCGTCTAATCATCGTGTTAATCTTAATAATATTATAAACGCGAAAGTTTGCGAGTATGTATGTTTGTTACTCTTTCACACAAAAACTACAGAACGGATTTGAATGAAACTTTTCCGTAATATGCTTATAGATCAATAACATATAGGATAAAAATAACATGTGGGTGAAACCGTGTGCACAGCCAGTACAGAATATTCAAATAACGATTTTTTTTATAAAATACAACTCAAGTACCGCCAAATGATGCAGCTGATTTAGGTGTTTTTTTTTTATAATCGGTATTATTTTTTTTAGTTCCCTTTTTTAGTTTCTAGTTTGGTCGACTTGACATTATGTCGATTTAGGTCGATCAATATTACCATATCTTGTATATTGTTTCCCTTATCATTATAATTGTTACTGTGCATCTCATCATCTACATTTATGGTCATAAATATATTATAGAAACGAAAACTGATATAATAACCTTACTCCTAAGATTGTAACACATTGTACAAACTTACATTGTAAGTGCAGAAATACTTAAAACCCTTGATAAATGTAATGGCTGCCTAAATAAAGTTTTGCAGAATTAGTTTGATGACAAATTTAAAATACGCAAAGACTGATATATAAATACTTGAGTATGATTTCAACTTGAAACAATTTATGTTGATAACATTGGCTATAGATAAGCAAAAACAAAATTACATTTTGTTGGTACAACTAGCTGTTACCGCAACTTCGTCCACGTGGATTTAACTTTTTTTTATAATGTAGATCTAGTTTTATTTTTGAATTTTTTTAATTTTACTATGATAGGTATTACCTTATTTTTACATTTTATAAATTATATTTATAAATAAATTGCCTAACTTACTCCCATAAGGAGTAAGTTAGGATAATTTTCATTAGCTATATAGATGCGGGTGAAAGTTCCGTCAAAATCAGTCCAGCCGTTTTAGCGATTTGCGACCACAAACAGACAACAATTTTTTATATGCATTTAGCGAAAAGCTGTTAATTTGTAATTACAAACAGACACTTCAATTTTTTTTATATGTATAGATAGATTCTATTCCAAAACTAACAATACAATAATATATTTAGCAATGGTAAAGGTTATTTTTTATCAGAAAATCATTTGAATAAATTTAATTTGTTTTCTTTATTTGTCTAACAACCAATAGGTTTCAATGATGCTATGTTTCTTTTGAAATAAGATAGTTTTCCTTGACAGATTTTCAAAATTTAACAAAAACAAATGTCATCAATGAACTCTACGTGGTACTGACGGTCAGATGTATAATGTTATTTAGTTTTTGCTTCTTTGACAATGATTATGAACACGAGGTCATATGCATGGACAAGAGAATTAATAGGTACACGAAACGAAACCGCCGGTTGTTAGCTAAAATGATCAATTTTTTCTTAACCAACCTTGTTTTTTGTTCAACTTTTTTGATATTTGACACCAAATTTTTGTCTTAATCTCCGGGTGATGACGTGACTCAAGTGGTGTTGACGCGTGTATTCCTTATTGTATTCTTCCCTAATTTCCTTTCGTTGTACAGGAATTTAAAGTATTAATTATATATTCTCGTCTTCTAGACAAGAATACGAGAACATACGCATCAAAGATGTTAAAGACGATTCTTTCAAAATCATCCGGATGTCTTCTTCAGGGTGAGTGCGGTAGAATGCATTCACAGCATCTCGACTCGCACGAGTTGAGAAATGTCAGATAAAGTCGAAACAATTGTACCATGAATCGAGGCAAGAGTTAGCCTCTGCTTACCGCAATGGGAAACAGCCGTGATGATATGTATGTACTGGCATTATGCAGATATAGCTTGATCGATATTACCTTATCATACATTGTTTATTATTGCACAACCAACTGTTATTCCTCAATATTATTATTATATATTCATTTCATTCATTTATTTTACTCAAAAATAAAGAACAAAAACTAAATCTGATGATGTCGAAACAATTGATAAGAAATACGAGATCATACTTTAACGGTCTCAGTGATCTAGCGATTTAGCATACCCCTTCACACCCGGTAGTCGCGGGTTTGATCCCTTGCACGGTGCAAACATTTATTTAAGTGTAGTACCCATAACACAAGCTCTGCTAACTTAGGCGCTGTATATATTGTCCAGGGTTATTATAATTATTATAGTAAATTCATTAAATTTCCGTATACAGTCATAAAAATATTTGTATAAAAATAAACATAAGTTTAGATGATAACTTAGCACAACAATATCCTTATTCTAATAAAATTGTATTTTAATTTAATATCAAATATTACTAACTATGCAATGTATAATTATGTCAATACTTTAATAATTATTTACTTGAAAAACTGTAGTCAATACTTATCAGTAGGTATTCTTATCAAGCGTATGATACCACTTATCGATTTACAGATAGATGTGCTATATGAAGTAAAATGCGTACTTTTATTGTGCTGCTTTAGTATTTCTATTATAAGTTAATAGCTATCGGTTCCAACTTTGCGATGAGTCTTTTAACTAAGTTATACATAATGTTGACAATAATAAAAACCCTGGACAATTCTCATAGCAACTTATAGTTCCAAACAAATCAGAGCTTGTGTTATGAGTACTATACAACTAACATATATACTTAAATACATACTTATACATAGCAAACACCCAGAATAATACAAATAATCATACTCATGAAAACTGCTGTACTGCGCGAAGATTCGAATATGTACTCTAGTCCCATTGGCCAGTTTTACATCTAAGTTTTTCTACTTTCATGAGCCTCGTGCATGCTCGATTAAAGAGTCTAGTGAAAGCTGTCTAAGTTAGATATATTTCTAGATCGACTATTTAGAAATGTCTTAAGGCTATAATTTTTAGTCACACAAAATCTTAAATTTGTAAAATAGAACAATATTTTTTAAAAGAGCAACATGCAAGTGTCCAACAAGGACAATCTTTTTAGCTTAACCTGCTTTTTGAATTACCGGTCGAATAAAAAAAACATTCTTTTATTGAGTCTATTTGAATAAACATTATTTATATTTCTAAACCTTACAAAAATATATGATATAGCTGTAAACTGCGACTTTATCTGGTATTTTTAGTTAAAGACAGCCAAAGTTCTTCTTGGTGATTTAACCTATCTTCACGTAAGATTAAAGTATGATCAGCCATTCATTTATAGTATTAATATGGTGTATGTATAGTAATATACATAGGTATAGACATATTTTACAAAGAAATGGATGAAACAGTTTTGATATCATGATAAGCATTATCATAGTATGATAACTTGATTAACGCGATTAGTCACTGACGAGAATTCAACTATGGAAGGGAAATAACAGGAAGTAGATATTACTAATCATAAAGACTATGAAATAATGCATTATACATCCTATATGCTCATTTATTTCACTAATTAAGAAATGATTCTACTGTCAAACAATTGAACGTTGGTTTATAATTATAATCTTTATTTAAAATTTAATTTAATTATAATATTTTAATAATTACATCTTAATCTCCCGAAATATTTTTTAAAATATAACATTCGAAGTCAAAATATTATATGTGGACGGTGGATTAGAGATCCATATCAATACTATATATATATATGTGAAATATATATATATATATATATATTGTCTGTCTATTTGTTACATTTTTACAATTTGAAACGAAGTGAAAGAAATGAGATAGATGGTATTACGAGGACAGATATAGTTAATTTTTATCTTAAAAAATAATCTGGATGGTGTGCGATATCGGGGAAAGTTACTGCAAACAAAGTTGCGGGTAACAGCTAGTATTATTAATGCGATGTATATCTGTCTGTTTGTTACCCTTTCACAACTAAATGACTAAACTAATTTTATTGAAATTTCTTAAAAAGATATTTGATAAGCTATCTTTATCTCAGAAAAGGTCAATCAAGTAGTTTCTTAAAAATATTGCCTTCATATTGACGGCTTGTTCCGATAGTCGTGAGTTCGATTATTACTACTAGTACTAAAACATATTACTGAGTACTAAAATATATATCTATGTACTAGCTGACCTGCGCAACTTCGTCTGCGATTCATTTTCTCACCTTTTGTAATATTTTTCATTGCAACTCCGCTCCTATTAGTCGTAGCGTAATGTTATATAGGTTAGCCTAATATAATAAGCCTTCCTCGACAAAAGGACTATCTAAGACAAAAAAAAATTCAATTCGAGACAGTACTTCCTGAGATTAACGCGTTCAAACAAACAAACAAACAAACTCTATAGCTTTATCAATTATTTAGTATCCGTAACAGAAGCTTTTGGTAGCTTAACTTTTGTCTAGATGGCGCTGCGTGAATTGTCCTGTGACTATTATTATTATATTGAATAATAGAACAATAATAAATCTCATTCCAGGTATTGAACATCATAATCTTAGTTTTGTACCGCACGGGATACAATGGCGAGTTCCTTGGAGTGGGTGGTACTTGGAACCTGAATGAGGAGAAGAATCCTGACGCTGAGATCGTAGCGTCAGGGGTCATAGTGGGATACCTCATATACACTCTGGTTCAAGTTGTCACATACTTCTTCGGCACCACTGAGCATAAGAGGTGAGCATACGTTTGTGATTATGTAGATACTTAACGGACATGGGGAACGAGTAGAGATGCCACGAGACAATCCATATATATTGAGTATGAGAAGTATTATAAACGATTTTGGTATATAGAAATTGTTCAAAATAATAATAATAGCCCAGAACAATTTAAACAGCGCCATCTAGTCTCAAGTTACGCATGACTTGTCTTATGGGTACTAGGCAACTAATAGACATACCTAAATATTTTTTTTGTAAATTCATACAAAATATACACAAAAAAAGACACCTAGACAATCATACTCATGAATGCATCAAGATGTGAAGAATTGAACCCGTGACCATTGGAGGTAAGGCGGAGTGTTAAACTGCTAGACCACAGAGAATACTATGACGTACGAGGTTGGAGAGTCAAATTTAGTTAATGTACAAGATTATATAAGGTTTTGTATCTGAATAAATGTTTATCGCCTATTTTAAATCCATCAAAATATATTATTAGGAAAAATGCTATTTTAATTAAATTTTAAAAATAATTAGTAAATCCATAAACAATTTAAGATTTGACTTAACCTAATTGTCTGTCATGGACTTACAGTTATAAAGATATATTAATTCCATCCTTACGATTGGATAAAAAGATATATGATTTTACACAGCATTCGTGGACCTTACAGAGCCCTGTCAGATATTGTGATGAACTTCGTCGGAGTGTTCATGTGGATCGCAGTGGGTGCTGTCGCCCTCCACTACTGGGGGGGATACCAGGGAGAGCAACAGTTCCACTTCGTCTATTCGGAGAAACAAGTAAGTAGAATTCATCTCTCTATAATTACTAATTGGTGGTCAAGTGGCCGAAATTCAAGCATAATTAATATAACATTCAGTAAAACTATAAACAAATAATATTAGTCTATTCTTAATTTGACTACAGACTTTAAGAATACACAAAGGAGTATATATGCATGTGTGCATTTGACACACAAGCATACAGACATATACTTTGGTTTAGTGGTAGTGTGTGTAATGTTTTTTTATAGTACTTTATGTTTAATGTATTTTTGTGTATAATTAAAAAAAAATATTAGCGATCTCCACTGCTTCTCTATATAAACTATAAGTGTGCAACCTTTGCAGTGACCCTTCGAATCGTAAATTCAGCCAAGAGCAAGAACTCTTCAAATCCAAAGAACTGTTCTTTTGAGTATGTTACAAAACTTGACATATTTCAAATTTGTGGGAATAATCTTTTTCTTTTATTTCTTCTGTTGCTTAATATCGGGCTAGTGTTAAAATAGTAGTAGTTTTACAACTACTAGAATTAACGACTAATGCTAAAATTTGTGAAGAAGAAAATATACTACAAAAATACGGTACTGAATAAGTTACTCATTGGAAATTGTTTTCCGATATACATTATATTCTATAACTAAATTTTTTAGGATAAATCAATAATTACTGATTACATCTTAATCAAATCCTGGTGAATTCATAAAGTAGATTAACTGACTCTATGCTTATCCTATTATGCATCCACTAGTAACCGGCAGCGTATGCCGTTAGCGCAATCACACACCATAATGTAATTTTCATTCAAAAAAAAACATTGCTGTCGTGCGTAAACATAATATTCCTGTTTTATGTTTCAGGTGGGCCTGGCGTTAGGCGCTTTGTGTGTCATACAGGGTGCGGTCTACCTACTAGATACAGCGCTCTCAGTCATTCACTTCACGAAAGAAATGTAAATGTTTCAAGAAAGAAACATTCTTAATCAATAAATTACTTATTTAAATTTAGTTAATATGAAATCGTTATACATTTTTCAGTACTAAGCCAAAGTGAATGCAGAATATTTCTGCATGTTTTGGTTTGCTTAAACCTAAGCTTCAAATAATCCAAAGGTTAGATAATAAGCTCGATCGTTATGAACGAAACGAAATATTTATTTGATAGCCACGTTTTAGATGCTACAATATGACATACAAATTAAATTGAGATCTATTCAATATACATTTACAGTACACAAAAAATGAAGAGTAAAATCATAAAAATCATGACTAGTTTAAAACAATATTATGACATGGTACTTAAACTATTATAATTTTATAAAAAGGCAAAATAAAAAATTGTCGTCTTCACGACTATAGTATTCAATATTTTCATTTGTTTCACTTATGTATTTTTTTCTTACATCTTTATTCATTCATCGATATACAGTTTGTTATCATTTTCTCGATATTGTTTTTCAAATACTATTTAATTCATTTCGATATAATATATTGTTATAAATATAATATATTGAAATATAACATAAGAATATATTATATTTCAATATAATATATATTTGAATTTTCAAATTAATATTGTTACAAAAAAGGGTGATATATGAACTTACAGATATAATTAAGATTTAAATAAATGTCTCACTATTTCATTTAGTGATCAGTTTAAATAATTTCTAAAGAAATGTTTGTTTACCTTTCAATCATATGGGAACGATACTTCGTTATACTTCCTTTTCCATTTAACATTCCAACATTTTTACGATAAGTGAAAATATTCTAGTTACATCGATTCAATTATGTACGTATAAAGTTAAAGTTTTTATATTAAATGTCTTTGATACTATATAAATTATTTTCATTTAACCAAAATTCATTATATAGCAGTATGATTATTTCTAACAGAGATGTTTTTTGGATGCAGTTTAACACTGCATTAAAGGTGCTACCAAAAATGTTTCTTTATATATTGTAATATATAAAAAAACAATTACAAATATTTCATATAGGTACAAACTGTAATCAAATTATTTGCATTAAATTCTCACCAGAATTTAACACAAATAATTAAATTCTAGTAAGAATACTAGAATTTAATTATTATATATACCTACTGGCTCGGAACTAGACGCAACATATTTTTCATTACGATAGAAAATTCAAATATTCATTTATTTAATGGTCATACAAAAAAGAAACTTATAAATGCGAATTAGTGTAAAAATTAATATAAATACAATTAAAAGGATAGATTTTCTTAAACTAGTGTAAATTCCTTTGCACATGATTATAATAGTTTCTGTTGGTTATTGGTCAAATCGGTCAGAATTTATTATAAATGACCTTATTTTATTCATAACTTCTATTTTTAGTTATCTTTGATTCGTAGTTTATAGGTTGTACGTCAATAAAATAATCGACGTAATTTGTAAATCCTTAAAAGTAAATAAAGTCATTTTTAAGGATTTACAAATTATGTCAATTACATTATTGTAATACATATACTTTATGTATAACTTGCAATTTTATAGTAGTGTAGTCGTTAGTAGTAGTATAGTCATATATTAACAATCATATTTATTGTGTCATCATTATATTATTGTTTTTACTATTGATTGTTTCTTATTATATGCCAAGAAGTACACATATTTTTTCTGATACAAATAAATAACATTTAAATTGGTATAATGTAAGCTTAATTCTTAAAGTTCAAACCTCTTATACATTACGTCTATTTGGTATTTGGTTATACTCATTTTAATTGGTTAAAAGGAAAAGATGAACAAACATAATTCTACTGCCAAATTATAATCATTATAAGTTATTTTAATAGGCTTTTAGCTATTTATTTCATGTATAAGCTTGTAACAAAAGTACAAAACAGTTTTGTAGAAAAAAAAATAGGTTTAGATTTTGCATTCTTATAGTATGGCTAAAATTAATAATTTTAAAAGGCATCCCATAAACTAATTATTAATTTTAACCGTATATATATGAAACATATTTGTATTGGTATTGAAAAATGTTATAGATTATTTAACCATAAGATTTAGTCCTGTGATACCATTCATAGTATTGTACAAAGCATTTGAAATTAAATTGATTTCTAGTATTTACTATACAGAGTTTATATTGCTATGTACATTAATATAAAATTTTTAATGATTTTTTGCTTATTCCCACCTTGACTCGTACGATACGAGGTACCAGTAATTTGTCTTATACTTTGTAATAAAATATTGTTCTAGTAAAAATATATTTTAATGTTACCATTGTCTTTTATTTTATTTACATATTTTTATTTTGAACACAAAATTGTATACATGGTGGACTTAATGCCTGATCCAGTCCAATTAATGCCTGCCAGTCAACCGTCGCGTTGATCAGAGATAGGGTGGTGAAATTTCATAATTAATATTGAAATATAAAAACTATTTAAAATATTTTATAAATGAGATACTCAAAATTAGTATATAATATATATTATACTTCGTGCGAACACGCTATGTTGAAGAAGAGTGGATGCATTTTTCAGAGACGGTTTTTCTGACAAACTTCTGTCCCAATGGTGAAGAGGAGTCAAATCAGATTAGCCCAGGGAAGTAAGTAAAATTTTTAGGCCGAGATGCGGTTATTTTAATATCTATGTATAATAATGTAATATACTGTAACATATCTTACAATATATTACATTAGGGGTATTACTTGTTAGAGGTGGATCGAACATGCCGTCCTGTACCAATAGCTTATTTGCCATTACAATTATCACCTGAGAGTCAATAAGATATATAATTACAGGCGTTTCTTTTTCAAAATTCGAACTCAAAACCTTTAAGTATACTTCGAGTTTAAAATGAATATAGGACAATACTAAGTTAAGATGCTCAACTCTACCTAAATACAAACTTCCTTTTTATAACTGTAAAATATCAACGACCAATGGACGCATTGTTATATGCAATATACATATGTAGGTACATATGTACCTATTTACCATGATATTTGTCGTGACGTCCGTATTAATAATAATTAAGGAATTAATGATTCAACAATTGATGGTAGATACAGGAAAAACACACAACTGTAGTTAAAGGGCGTCATAAGTCGGTAACAGGGATGCACTTTGATGCAAAACGTACTTGTATGTTATAATCTGCAGATTTTGGCAAACTGAAGAGGAAACGCCACTACACATCCTGTATGGTTGTAACCCACTCATGCATAGGATATATTACGTATATAACCTTGGAAAGTTTACACTCTCTCCTGAGGAGATAAAAACCATCGCTCCTAAGAGTATCCTTCAATCCTTGTCCCTGATTGATCTAGGCAGTGAACTCTAATAAAGGGCGAGCACAATAGATTTATGTAGGTCGCAGAGCTACAGGTCCAAGCACCTGACAATTGCCCAAACCCCCCAATAAAATAGAAGTATGTTATAAAACAGTAATTTGCCACTTTAATGTATTAACTCTAACATCCATACTAATATTACAAATTCGAAAGTGTCTCTGGTATCTGTTTGTTAGATTGTACAATTAAATGACAGAACGGATAGTAATGAGATTTAGACTATATTTTATCTAAAAAAGCAGACAAAGTCGAGGGTAACAGCATTCTAGCTGTTACCGTCTCAATAATAAGAAACTCAAAAAGTTATGAGCATTCTTGTAAAACCGAAACAGGGCAATAATATTAGCTAAGCAAAATTGTGTAATAGGTGCTAGAATAATGATTGTAAATACTTAAATACATACATAATATACATAGAAAACACCAATAAAAACAATCACACTCATGCGTAACGTGCGAGGAACCCAATCCGCAACAACCTTATTTTTAGAAAATTTGAGAATCATTGTCATTAAGAACTTTCTGGATAGCTTCCAAAATTGTTAATTTTCTTGTCTACATGAAGACGTTTTTCTCAGAAGTTAGGCGGTGTGCTAAATCGCTAGACCACCGAGACTCACTCAACAAAAACAAAACAAGCTCTATACCTTCCAGGCGTCTTACTATTGGGTTATTTAGTCCCTGGTTACTTATTAACATGATAAGGAGAAACTGAATAATTACGTAGGGTCAATGTAAGTATCAAATTAATAGGTCATGGGTTAAATCGTTAAATGAGATCTCCTTGTACTCCTTGGTTTGTTCACTACTCATTAGTTCTTTAACCGTTGACTATGAGTGTTTGTTATAAACCTTATTATTTGTAAACTTATTATTATAACAGTTCTAAGATATTCTTTAATAAGTAAATTTAGTATTTAAAAAACTACAAATCAATTTAAATATTTGATTGATTATAACAGTCTTCGAAAACGCTCTACTGTATTTTACACAATCTCAATGAATTGTTAGTACAGTATTTTTTAAATTAACTTATAATTAATATTCATTAATCTACTGTCATAAAGTGGTCATCGAAGGTGGATTATTCAATATTTGACCAGTTGGTCACAATATCACCGATATCGAAGGAATTTCTTTGCGAACTGGATTTAGAAGCAGCCACCATTGCGCCGCTAACGGACAGCGTAAGATTTTATTTTTATTAATAACTTTTTTATTAATATTATAGCTCCACCGGAGATTTTGCCAATGTCAAGGTTGGAATGAACTGCACAACAGACACTGCATTTTTTAAATCCTTACTAATATTATAAATGCAAAAATAACTCTTATCTGTCGCGCTTTCACGCTAAAACTACTGTACCGATTTAAGTGAAATTTGATATACAGTTAGTCTAGACCCTGAGAATGAACATAAGCTAGTTTTTAATTCGAAAAAGGAATTCATTTAGGTTATTGGGAGTGATATTGTAAAGGCTTGAAAGCGGAGGTAGAAGCATGTATGGAATTATCGTCATTTTAAAGCTAGAAGTTTGAAACTTATTTTTTAGGCTGTTGTTAATCAACAGCTTAAAAAAAATAAGTTTCAAGTTACTAAAGACACATCCACGACTGTCATACCAAATGGAGATAGGCACTTTCATATCGATGTAGTGAATAACATTGCACCTGACACATCTTACTATTATTTGTTACTACAAAGTTGAATTCAGGTCGGAGTAGCTACTTTGTATCAACATTGCATTCAAGTCGAAGGCGTATTTATAGCCATTTTAGGATTATGGTTTGTTTTTTGTGCTTCAATCATCAGGGTCACTTTATACTTTTGGTGTTGGTATGATTCGAACTTAATTAATTATTTGTTAAATAATTTTTTTTTTTATTTATACAACTAATGTGCACATTACAAAAAGTAACAGTACATTTGGCGGAGTTAACACCATGCGGTATTTTCTACAAATAAAGTGAATGACTGGTAAAGATTTATAGACTTAACATTGAATGAATTTCATTTCTGTTATCAGTATTAACAAACTAACTAGGTCAGACCTATATTTTGAGGGCTGGGAGTGCGGAATATACTAAAAAGATGTATTATACACTACGCACACTGCACACTACACATACTTATAACGCCTTTATGGACGGTCCAGGTGGTCTAGCGGTTTTGCACACCGCTTTACTTCCGATGGTCGCGGGTTCGATTCCTCCCACAGTACAAACATTTGTATTCATGAGTATGACTGTTTGTATCGGTCTGGGTGTTTTCTATGTATATAAGATCTAGGTATTTATATCAGTTGTCTAGTCCCTATAACACAAGCTCTGCTTACAGTGGGATTTGATGGGTCTGTGATAATTATTATTATTATTAAAAAGTTGGGGTTATTATCCATTGCTGGAAGATCACGACGCTGTCTCGCAAGCTTCTTGACGGCTGAAACATCACTCACGAAGACGACTTTATATAAAGTCTATCTCGGCAACTAAAACTCAAATACACACGTAATAAGATTTCGTTGAGGCCTTATGACTGGTCGAGGTATAGAATAAAAAAATAAATATAGGGTCAAATGGTCAGTTCACGACCAATTAGTAGAACTGTAGTCTTTAAGTTACGTAGCTTTTAAAAATAAAACATTATTATTAATTTATTCATTGCTTAAAGGAACAGTAGGAAGTTCAAACTCACTTTAATATAATAACACTAATTTATTTCTTAAAAGTCAACTGACATTGTCCGAATCAAATTCATCAGCTTAGTGATCATTAATGAATGTGTTCTGTAAGTTCTGTTTATGAAATTAAAACTATCAGCCAGAAAGAACAAATTCAGTTCAATTCAGTTCAAAATATCGTTATTCATGTAGGTCCATTGCAGACACTTATGACATGTCTAATTAATCTACGGTATGTGATAGTGTAATAATTACACTACGAGTTACTATATAGGATACCCTAATGTGAAAGATATAATAGTCACGCATTTTCATTCAAAATAAACTCTTTCCATGCTTTTAAATGTTTATTATCGGAGTTTTTCGTAAAACGGTCCGTGAACAGGTAGGTAAACCGGCTATTTGACCCTATATGCCAGTAATAAAAACATGGCGAAGCGCGAGGCGTGCCTCGGATTAGTCGCGTCAACGCACTCCGTATGTACCAGCATTGTGTATGGCAGCCCAACTGGAATTTGTTTTGGCCCAGCGTAGTACCGACTGAGTACCGTTGTACGCTGAATGCAAGTAGTTTGGTATTATTTCACTGACTTTTTGTGGCTATACTTTGTTAGTAATTATATTGATTTCGTTTTAGCTATTGGTCAATTTACAGCCTTGATACCTTATCAATATTAGGAAAGAATCACGCTTTAGATATTTAAAGGAAATGATATTTTCATTCCAATCTTGCCTAAAATACAAATTATAAGCCCAAAATAATGTCAATACCGGAATACTTTAAAATGACGCCTTAAGAAGTATATATGAAATGAGTTCTTATCTGAAATTGTTAGCCCTAACTATTTCAAGTCAATTTCAAGCTACACTACAAAACAAGACTTTCTAATACTAGTAAGCAATCATAAGCTTCAGAATAAAGTTGTTCACGGTATACAACTAGAAGGCACATATATATATACATCGTATATATACACATAATACAATTAAATTAAAAAAAAAAAATTCATTTGTGTAGGACATCTTAATCAGTTATGTCGTTCAAGTTTTTGTATTAATGTTTTTTCCTACCATCAAATCAGGCTAAAGATTCAATCGAGAAGAACTGGCAAGAAATTCAACCGAATTTGTTGCCAACATGAACCTTTATATATGTCATTTAAGTAATAGTTTAGAGAGTGGCTTTGCTCAGTAAATATGCTCGAACAGTAATTTTGTGCCGGACAATTTTGAACTCCCAACCACGGCCACTACGCTCTCCTAACATAAAATCCAAGTTTAGAATATAGTTATAAAATTTAATTGCAAGTAAATAATATGTTTTGAAACGTTTTTCTGCAATTAGCGAACGTGATTAGCCGCCATAAAGGTCGTTTACCTCTATCTCCTCCTAGTCTATGGGCAGTGTCGATGGGTCGCGCGTGCACGGAACGCATTAACTGTAGGTCGGTAAGGGACCCGCTATTAGCATAAAAAGTAGGTGGCTCTCTTGACAGTTCGCTTGTTTAGTGACTTTAAATCACTTGGTAATAACTATGAGTAGTTTTTAATGTTATATTCTCCATTCTCCGCTGTATAGGATTATAATGGATACCATTGTAATTATGCCAAAATGACTGTAAAGATACACCCTGAATAGCACTGCCCTCCTTTCTTTGCCACTTATATTTTTTTATTTATAAATAAACATGATAATCAAATAGCATACGATAAATAAATACGCAGTCAAAGTTAAAGTAAAAATGATTAATGCATATGGGACACTTTTAGCCACTTATGCAAGTAATACTTTAGCTACTTGAACTGAAAACAACTAGAAAGAAATTCAACTGCTGTATCTGAAATTTAGTTATCAGTTTCTATTTTCATTTTCAAAATTTGGGGCGGTGTGCGTGTAGAGCCGAAACTATTAAAGTAAATAGAAATGCCCCCAGAAATACGTAATTTTTATAACTATTTCTATACTCTATCTTCTCTATCTTTACTTGTAGAAGATTATAGTCATTTTGACCAAAAGCATGTATGACCAGAATCTAAAAGTATTGTTTTACTTGGGATACAGCAAATATGTTAGTTATTGTGTTGGACTTAACCTTCTTAGTAACCTAATAAATAAATAAATAAATAAGTTCAACAGAATTATCTAGTACAATAATATAATAAGTAGATCACATACATTGAGTTCAAATGAATAAAGATCTTAGCGATCCGTAGTTTTTGCGTGGCTCTATACTATAACATAAAGGGGATAGTGTCATTTAGACAAATATAGGTCAGAGTAACAACCTTCGTGAACGCACCCCCGACCACTGCAGGAGCTTTGGCGCCAAAACTGGCGCCACAATGGCGGCGACGCGCGGCTGTCGGGAATATTCGGGACGCTCGGCGTTGTACGAACTTAACCGGGACGCTACGTCTACTTCGGGATATCACAATCTTGCAGTTTTCCAATATTTCCAACTATTTCATAATATTATTATTTATTATAGTAATGGAATTCAGCAAATCTTAAATAGATTTTTTAATTGAACCGAATAAGAAGTAATAAAACTTCATGTTACTTGTCGCCATAATTAGAATACTGAAAATGTTAAATATTCCCGAATAAAACAAAACTATTAAATTGCAACTGTGAACTACATCGATTACCTTTCAAACAAAAAAAAATGTATTATAATCAGTCCATTCCTTTAGAAGTAATGATGCCACATAATGACACACGGTATGTCGTACTTATAACAGTATAGACTAACAGTGTCGCCCACAGATGACCTAAGAACAATAAGTAAACCAGATGACTGTATTAAAATTATTTTAAACAATATTCTATTATTTTATTTTGTAATAATAATAATTACTTTGTCACATAGTGAAAGATGTAAACAATCAGAATAAATTATACTGCCACAGATGTTATTATACTACTAACCTATCTCAAATATTTATAGGTAGGTACTAATCTTATTTCTTCAAACTTATTACAAATATATAATTTATATAAACTCTTTATCGAATAAATATATAAATATATTTATGTTTGTAATAAAGTTGCACGTAAGTATAATACTACTAACATATTTCAAATATTTATAGGTTCTAATCCTATTTATTCAAACTAAGTACAAATTTATATATTTACTTATCCGATTAAATATATAAATATATTTATGTCTGTAATAACTTTGAACTAATTTCTTTCATAAATAGTATAAAATAAAATCGCTGACCCAGTCATGTCTACTTCACCGCTTAATTCTAAATCACGCGTATTTTGCTACGGTTTCGCTGTCTTAGACATGCCTCATGATCGCTTTATATACACAATTTTTGATAATATTAGTATATATTAATTATATATTCATAAAATTGGCTTGTATTATATATTGTTCGAAATGATCAAAGTCAGTTCGGGGGTGGTAAATCCTAACTAATATTAATAATACGAAAATTAGACAAATGATCGCTGTAGACTTCGACTTCGACAGATATAGACTTTGGATAAAGTC